TTGATGGGGAAATTGAGAGATTTTCTTTCCTTCTACCCATGGCGGAAGGAAAGAAAATCAAATCATCTATGTCTAAGTCTTACCATCCACATTGGTTTTGTTTTATAATGATCTCATATTCTGTAGCTCTATGAATACGGGCTCTCCTGTCTACCCTTTTTTCTTTTTCCCCTGTGGATATGCAAGAGAGCTAGATTTTTCCACTTTGCAAACCACATCACCAAGTTTTGGATGACTTAGGGCTCATTCTCATGTGTGGATATTATTGCCACTCCTCCATGGGGGATCGCTTTTCAGAGAACGTTTCACAGTTGGTGAGGTGATATGTCACCTCCTCCACATCTCTTTAACCTTCAAAATGCATTGCATGCTGTTGTGACACAGCCCTATTCACTTGCAATTCATGGCAAAAATTAAACCTGTCACCTTCAGTGAGCAGTACCACTGCAGAACATGATGGGGGGGGGGGTAATCTTTGCTGAAATATGTGTACAGCCCTAATCGGCAGCATATCTGTGCTTAGCTGGCGGTAAAGTGATCCACTGCAGATTGCTCTTCAGAGGACAACGCCAGTGTAAATGCGCCCCCTTATTGTAAAAAGTCTTAACAGAGCTCCATAAACATGTAGCATCACCCTTGCCTCTCAGAATCCATCCATCAGAAGCTGTTGGCATCATCCTTAGACATGAGAGTGTTTCCAATCTATCTGAAAATGGTTGCATCAGGTCACTGTCATCTGATGTGTAGGCGTACCTTTGCTGACCAGAGATAGCGGTTCTGCTCTGACAACTAATTTTTCTGTATCACGTTCCTTGAAAGACATCACTTTTGTTGTGGAGGTCAGCTGTAACCCTCCATAGAAGATGTCTGCCTGATCCCATTACTATTAACAGATGCTCTGGGCAGCTAAAGCAGAGAGAGTGATCATAAAGCTGTCAAATAATAAAGGTATTGTTTTGTTCCTTGCAGTCCTGACAGCACCTTTGTTATCTGACAGTTTCATGAACGCTCTCTCTGCTCCTATACAATGATGGTAATTGGACAAATAGGTTGATCACTTCATTATGCAGCCAAACAGTACTTTGACTTCCATAGTGCTGGGCCCTGTTGTAGTCATATTTGCTGCTATGTATATAGTTATGACCTTGGCTCATGCAGTCAATGCAAAATTTGTGGTACTTCAAGTGTTTGGGACCGCAGATTGGGAATATGTCATGTGGTCCCCCAAAAGAGGTGCACCTGTAACCATGATTATGCTGCATCCAACCCTTAAGCCCCATTCACACAGCTGTGGCTCAAAGCTCTAAAACAACATTCAAAACATATTCATACTCTGAATGGTCTAGGGTTGTCAGTGGTGTACCCCAGGGTTCAGTGTTGGGACTCTTACTTTTTAATATAGATTTATAAACAATATAGGGTCTGGGATTGAAAATCCCATTTCAGTCTTTGCAGATGACACCAAGCTGTGCAGTGGAATAACGCCCTTACAGGATGTCTCCAATTTACAAGCTGACCTCAATACACTGTTTAATTGGGCAACTATGTGGCAAATGAGGTTTAATGTTGATAAATGTAAAGTTCTGCACTTGGGGGCTAAGAATATGCATGCATCATACATACTAGGGGGGTACAACTGGGGAAATCAATGGTGGAGAAGGATCTGGGAGTTCTGGTAGATCACAAACTTAATAATGGCATGCAATGCCAAGCTGTGGATTCTAAAGCGAGCAAAATCCTCTCTTGTATTAAAAGAGGTATAGACTCCAGAGAGAGAGATATCATATTACCCCTGTACAAATCATTAGTAAGACCTCATCTGGAATATGCAGTTCAAAGTAGAGAAGGACAACCAAACTGATACGAGGCATGGAGGAGCTCAGCTATGAGGAAAGATTAGAGGAACTGAATTTATTCTCTCTTGAGAAGAGGAGATTAAGGGGGGATATGATCAACATGTATAAATACATCAGTGGTTCATGTAGTGAACTCGGTGTAGAGCTATTCACCCTGAGGTCATCACAGAGGACAAGGGGGCACTCTTTATGTCTGGAGGAAAAGAAATTTAATCTCCAAACACAAAAAGGTTTCTTCACAGTGAGAGCTGTGAAAATGTGGAATAGGCTCCCTCAAGAGTTGGTTCTGGCCAGCTCAGTGGATTGCTTTAAAAAAAGTTCTGGATTGTTTCTTAGATACACAGAATATAACTGGATACTAATATTTATAGGTAAACTTGATCCAGGGAATATCCGATTGCCTCTCAGGGGATCAGGAAGGAATTTTTTACCCTGCAGGAGCAAATTGGATCATCCTCTGGATCAACTGTGGGTATAGGATTATAACTTTTTTTTTTTTTTTTAATGGTTGAACTGGATGGACTTTTGTCTTTTTTCAGCCAGACTATGTAAAATAACATTGTATTTTAATGATGGCTATTCACATGAGCGTTGAGGTACCTAAAGCTTAGCGTCTGGCTTTCCAAAATCTACATGCGCTACTTCTGAGGCAGAATTGGTTGTTTTTGGTCCCATACATTTGAATTGGAATTATTTTATATAAATAATCGCAACAATTGTGCACATACAAAAACAAAAATTAAAGCAGCAAACAGAGAAAAAAGATATCCCTTCTAATATGTATACTCAAAACATTAAAAAAGTGTTGTGCTACCCATATATAAATATTGCATACGTTCAAAGTGTATAAATAAAAAAATAAACACATAATAATACATAAATTATAAATAGAAGGAGTGAAAGTTTATATCCAAAAAGTATTGACAGATGAAAAATTCTTTCCTTCCAGATATCATAAAGTGCCACTGATCAACACCGTCACCCAAAGTGATAATGGGGTACATGCTTACCAGCTTTCCATGACCCCCTCAGCAATAAGAATGATCATGAAGTGCTTATGCGATTTCATCCCATATCTGGGTCACACCAAACAGCCTCAGTGGTATCCAGGAACACGTCCATGCAAAGGCAAAAGACAACGTCTTTTGATGATGAAACTCGTCGGACAGAGCCTCATACTGACGTCATCACGCTCCAGGTAGTTGATGTCATTGCCAGCTCGGTTTCTGTATTTACATGTGCATGTCTTTTAACTTTATGTGAGTATATTTTTTAAATAATAAACTCCTTTAAGTACATTTCGAAAGCTGGTATGCATGTACCGCATTACAACTTTGGGTGATGGTGTTGATCAGTGCCACTTTATCAGGAAGGAACAAATTTTTCATCTGTCAGCACTTTTTGGATGGGACTCTGTATATGAACTTTTTCTATTTCACTCGTTCTACATTTTAAATCTATGTAGTATTATGTGCTTATTTTTTATTTATACACTTTGACATATGCAAAATTTATATATGTGTATCGCAACACTTTATCTCTTGATTTGAATTTGAATACCTGAAATCACGCAAATCTAGGGTTTATTTTTTTAAGACGATTTTTAGCATGTAAGAACCAGTCTCTTCCTCCTAGTGCTTTTCATGCCTGAAGCTTGAATACACATGTAAAACTCTTGAAACCTAACTTCTAACTACTACAAACATTACTAACTTATCCCTTACCAAGAAATCTGTGGTATTGTCCAGTTACATCTGAAACCTCCAGGCCTCACCAAACGTCAGTTCAAAATGGCCACATTTGTACTACTGGCAGCAAAACAAATAGCTAGAGCCTGGAAGCAACAGTTTATACCCTTTACAGAAGTATGCCTTGGCTTAGATTTCTTTTTCACTAATGAAAAACTTTCCAGTATTCTCCTAGATATGAAAGAGAAACCAGGACCCCGTGGATCCAATACGCTCACCTCTCTATACCCATAGCCAGTTACATAGTTATAGGCACTGGGGTTCCAGCTGGGATGCTTCGGACATCCTTTCCTACTCTCCTCTACTTTTTCTTCCTTTCCTATCTACTTACGCTCTTCTGTAGGGATGGTCTTTGCAGCCATTAGCGCCTACTTCCCTAGTATAGGCGCATAGTTCTTGTTTTCTTTTATTTACATTGTTTCTCTGTTATGGCATGATTAATGTGCCCTTTGGCACATTAATAATAATAATAATTGTTCTATTTTTTGCTATAATGTCATTACTTGATGCACGACTGCTACTGACTTGTAAGTCGCTGACATTACACTTATGGAGAAACGCAAAAAATATATGCCTGAAAATCGTACTGCTCAGGTATGACTACAGCAATAGGGCATATTCTGGATTGTGAATGCACCTCTGCACCTTGACACCACATTAACTCTACAGTAGCAAGTGAACATGGGAAAAGTCAAGCAATTTTGTGTGCATTCACATAACGTGCAAAAAATGCAAGTCTCCTTGTGGTGCCAATCATGGTTATTGGCACACCAAAAGTGCAAGCAAGATATGCATTTTCACTTAAATGGGTAAAAATGTGCAAAGCTCAAAAACGTGCAAGAGCTTCTTTATGGCGTCTGTGCATAGGGCAGCTTAGTGAAAAGAATACGCTGCCCTGTGCAAGAAGCGCAAAACCGTGCATTTGCACACTGCCTGCTGTCACACGGCATAGTGTGAATAGCAGCTTATGCTTTGGTCATGAAAATAAGTCAGCAGAGATGAGGAAAAAAACTACAGTAGCCTGTTTCTCTTTTTAATATATTTTGGGGGTTTTATAGTACACCTGTCATGAAAGAAGTATGAAGGCTACCAATGGTTTCTTCATCTAAGGCCTCATCCACATTGAAACCAAGGCCCACACACAGCGCAACTGAACCAGGTGTTGCATGCAGGCAGCCTATTTAAGACATTGAGGATGCAGAACTTGCACAGACACAGCTGCTTGTATGTTAGGGATCCGGGTATGACCAGAAATGTGTGGGAACACAGGTGTAGTCAGGGCTGGGAGAGGTGGAATGGTCAGGCAGGCCGTTTGGTACTGTTAAGCACCGCCTGGCGGCATCTCTAGAAGCCCACAGCACGGGGTTCCTCAGGGCACGGGGTCAAGTCAAATCTGCTTATTCACCAGGGCCCCTGATGGTGGGGATGAACTTGGAGCAGACTGAGACCAGGTCGCGACCCCGAGTACGTCCGGAAATGGTAGAGAGCGCCGCCAGAGGTGTGCAAGTAATGGAGCCTGACATGAAGTGGTTGGCAGGCCTGCTAACAGGGACAGATCCGTGCTGGATGGATGGATGGATCGTCAGGGTAGCATGAGGCGTAGTCAGGCAGGCCAGGTCAGCAACGTGCGGGCAGCGAGGTACCGGAGGAGCAGGCAGAGAATGGTCAGGGTCACAAGCCGGGTTCAGTAACTCACGGGCAGCACGGTACAAGAGGATCAGGCAGAAGGATGGTCAGGCAAGCCAGGGGTTAAACAGGAGACGGTCAGCAGGGTCAGGAACAATGCAGAGGTCGGCAACAGAAGATTCACAGGATACCAGGTACAGGGGCTCATGGAAAACAAACACCAAGGCACTGATTGCAGGCCTGGTCCTGCCTAAATAGACCTCCTGCAATCAGCCTCAGGTGATGGCTTGATTGCAGGAGTGAGACCCTGGCTGCTGAAAGCACCCTCTGGTAGGAGCTGGTACTGCAGCCCACAGAGCAAGTGAGCCACAGCACCACCAGTGGTGAGTCCATTCCTGACATTGTCCCAATGTGACAAGCCTGTGGGTGAGCTTCCCAAATGCACGCTGTCTGCATTCTGGGGTATTCTCCTGCATCCATATGCCTGTCAAATTAAGACGAGTGGCTGTATCTATGCAGCTGCTGCATTTCATAGACTTGAATAGGCTGCCTGCATGCAGCACCTGGCAGCCTGAGTTGCATAAACAAACGGCCCATTCACAGTGTGTGGGCCTCAATGTCATTACTTGCTGTCATGCTGATGCTTTTATGTTAGAACTTACATGTATAAAATATATAGACATAGGGAACTCTGACTTCTGTCCAACTTGCTGCATGACAAATCCAGTTAGTGCCTCAGAAAACTGTCAATCTTAGGAGGTCAGCATATTATATATTTAACAGACCTAAAAGGAGCAAATAAGAGTTTACATACACTTTTAGCTCTGCGCATTCCTGTGCACATCACGTGCAATTTGAGCCCATTCATTTTGAAGGGGCTGAAATCACACTGCATTGCACCAAAAGTAGAGCTACCGCATTGCTACTGGTTCGCATGGTACTTTTGTACTATGCAATCTGGTGCAGGCAAGTGCACTTTGTTTGTGACCTGCATTTGGGGTGTTTTTAACCTAACATTGACACCCGCTGCAGATCGCAACTGCAGTGCGCACAAAAATGTGTATGCAACGCAGGTTTCCTGCACCATGTTCTAGTGCAGCAATGGGCAAACTACGGCCCGGCGGACCTTTTAATCCGGCCCGCGGAGCTAGGCTCCCGCAAGGCCAGTGGTCGGCAAGCCGCGGCTCTTTACAATAGATGCGGCTCTCCTGTGTGCCGGGCGCCCGCTCCCCTCCCTCCTCTCGGGCGGGCGGGCGACCTCCTCTCCTCCTCTCCCCTCCCCTCCTCTCGGATGGCCGCCCCCCCTCTAGGATGGCCGCCCCCTCCCTCCTCTCGGGCGTCAGGACTCTGCAGCTGTCAGGATGTAGGCGGGGCAGCCAGGATGTAGGCGGGGCAGCGTGACGAACTCTTCTCTCACAGTCCTCCCTGAAGACCAGAACGGCGCGGGAATACGAGAGGAACGCGCGGAGGAGCAAAGGTAAGTGAATTGACACAGGGGGGACTTACTATATGGGGGACTTACTATATGGGGAATGAATTACTATATGGGGGACTTACTATATGGGGAATGAATTACTATATGGAGGACTTACTATATGGGGAATGAATTACTATATGGAGGACTTACTATATGGGGAATGAATTACTATAGGGGGGACTTACTATATGGGGAATGAATTACTATATGGGGGACTTACTATATGGGGGATGAATTACTATATGGGGGTCTTACTATATGGGGAATGAATTACTATATGGGGGACTTACTATATGGGGAATGAATTACTATATGGAGGACTTACTATATGGGGGACTTACTATATGGGGAATGAATTACTATATGGGGGACTTACTATATGGGGAATGAATTACTATATGGGGGACTTACTATATGGGGGGGAATGAATTACTATATGGGGGACTTACTTTATGGGGAATGAATTACTATATGGGGGACTTACTTTATGGGGAATGAATTACTATATGGGGGACTTACTATATGGGGAATGAATTACTATATGGGGGACTTACTTTATGGGGAATGAATTACTATATGGGGGACTTACTATATGGGGAATGAATTACTATATGGGGGACTTACTATATGGGGAATGAATTACTATATGGGGGACTTACTATATGGGGGAATTACTATATGGGGGATGAATTAATATATGGGGGATGAATTACTATGTGGGGGATGAATTACTATGTGGGGGATGAATTACTATGGGGGATGAATTACTATATGGGGGATGAATTACTATATGGGGGATGAATTACTATGTGGGGGATGAATTACTATGGGGGATGAATTACTATATGGGGGATGAATTACTATATGGGGGATGAATTGCTATATGGGGGACGAATTGCTATATGGGGGACGAATTGCTATATGGGGGATGAATTACTATATGGGGGATGAATTACTATGGGGGATGAATTACTATATGGGGGATTAATTACTATGCTTACTATGGGGGGAATATTACTATACTTACTATGGATGACACATACACATCATTCATCTACTCTTGGTCCGGCCCCCGGGTCCAATATATGAACCCATTGCGGCCCTCAAGTCAAAAAGTTTGCCCACCCCTGTTCTAGTGCGAACCTAGCCTTAAGGTACATATTTAAAACCAATCACTACAATGTTCTATAAGCGTCAATATGTTATTAAAATTCCAAAATTATTATATATTAATGCCGTATAAAAATAGCAGCTCACTCATGTTTCTCTTACTAGCGATGTCAGCTTAGATGGAGTTGTGCTACATCACTGCTAGCCAATCTGGGGTTTGTTGGGACATGCAATAAAAATGGACAGACTCAGTGCTACTGACTGTCAAATCAGAGTGCAGCACCATTGTGCAGTTTGGGGCTGGAACCTCTGCCTAGGCGATCGCAGAGGAAGTGGGAGCGGGTACCTGTCAAATTTGGGTACCCGCTCCCCAAAGGTGCCAATCCTTAATGGGGAGTGGGGGACAAAGGCTTAACGTGGAACTTCCCCTTTTGGGTGGAGCTCCGCTTTAATGTATTCTTTTGTTTCCAAGTATGTGTGGTCTTGGTCACTCGATTTATTTCACACAAATACTATACGAATTACACAAAAATCATTAGTTCTGTTATCTTACAACAAAATTTCTGTGCTCGTCCCTTTGAATAATTTCACATGAATAGTCATGATCATCTCTCAAAAGCTGCGTACTAACGATTAGATTATCGGATGATCGCTACAAACACGTTTTTTTCATCCAATTTACTCAAGTGTGCCAGTTTTTATCCATCATTGAGCTAATGTGACCCCAGCACTGATGGAGAGGGGCAGGGGAGGGTCAAACTAGGATGCTTTGCAGGCAGCTGACATCCTCCTTATCAACTGATGATGTCACTGGTTATCAGGATGTCAGCGGCTAGAAGGTCGTAATGACACACAATGAAAATCTGTGGTTTTGTGTAACTAAAAGGCAGGTTTGTTCCACCCGCTGGCTTGTATACAAGTTTTGGGCAAATTGTAGACATTATGCCAAGGCACCCCTGCAGAAACCTCAAGGCACCCTGGTTGAGAAAGGCTGCTCTACTCTGTGCAAAACAAGATAACAAGTTTGGGCTTTAGAGACTTAAAAGTACAACTAAAGGCAGAACTTTTTTTTAAGACAAAGTGGAGAGTGTATTTTGTAGTGAAATTTTGCATTTCCTAGACTTTTGTGGTAATATCGTGTTACATAAATTGGAACTACCACTGTTTTATTCTCTAAGGTCTCTGCTTTCAGAAAATATATAATGTTAGAGGGTTTTATGTAACTTTCAGGCCTAAAATTATTTTTTTAACCATTTGCCGCCCGCCCTATGGCCGAATGGCGGGCGGCAAATGTCATCAGCGTTGCGGGTGGACGCCATATGGCGTCCTCCCGCACATGCGCAGATTGCGCTCCTGCAGAGCGGCGCGATCTGTCACCGGCCGTGTACCTCGGACACGGCCGATGACAGATCTGAGTATCGGCCCAGTTGCCGGTACCATGTGACCTGCTGTGACCAATCACAGCAGGTCACATGACAGTTGTATACAATGGATGGCTTCATTCATGCCATCCATTGTATACTAGTGTCTAGCTGTGAATGGTCACAGCTAATCACATGCACATGTAATGTGATTAGCTGTGGCCAAATCACAGCTAAGCACAAAAAAAACAAAAAACAAAAAAAAAAAAAACCCTGAATGAATCCATGTCATTCAGGTAAATGCTTGCTTATAGCAAAGTAATTCTTTGCTATAAGCAAATTGTGTGAAAAAAAAAAAAAATACTGATCACTTCCCCAAAGTAGTACAATGTTACTATGGTAACATTGCACTACTTTGGTCATAGTGAAATATGAAAAAAAAATCTTAAAAAAATAAAAAAAAATGTAATAAAAAATAATAAAAAAAAAAAAATATATACAAATATTTTTTTTTTTCATACTGTCACCAGTCAGTGTCCCTGATCACCACCATGCCAGTTATATGATGATGCTGTACTGCACTGGTGACAATATGTAAAAAACAAATAGTGAAACTAATTTTTTTAATTTTTTAATTTTCCGAAAAATTATGACAAAAAAAATACAACTTCAAAAAACTCGCCATGCCTCTTATGAAGTACATCAGACTGTCTACTCTGCAAAAAGGGGTCATTTGGGGGATATCTGTACTGTTCTGACATTCTTGGATCTCAAGAAATTAGATTGGCTGTCAGTACTTCAGGATTGATCAATATTCAGATCTATACCATAGTTTGTGAACTCTATAACTTTCCTACAAACTAAATAATACATCCTAATTTGTATTATTTTCACCAAAGACATGTAGCAGAATACATCTCGGCCTAAATTTATGAAGAACAATTATTTATTTACAAACTTTTATAACAGAAACAAAGAAAAACTTTTTTTTTTTCAAAATTTTTGGTCTTTTTTTTGTTAATTTAGCAAAAAATAAAAACCCCAGTGGTGATTGAATACCACCAAAAGAAAGCTCTAGTTGTGTGAAGAAAATGATAAAATTTTAGTTTGGGTACAGTGTTGTATGACCGCGCAATTGTCATTCAAAGTGAGAGAGCGCTGAAACGTGAAAACTGGCCTGGGCAGGAAGGTGTAAAATTGCCCGGTATTGAATTGGTTAAACGTGTGCAAAAACCGCAAAAGGGGCCCTGGCAGTGAAAGGGATAA